CTCATGCTGGTGGCTGCTTTGACAATTTTTCCTTAAAAGAAAAATTGCACATGTACTTATCCAAACCAGTTATTTATGCGGGTTTTTTTTGAAGACTGGATAATAACAACATACAGTCGTCTCTAATCTTTACTGGGCCTAAACAGAATAGAAACACAGATAAGGTGTGTTGCATGTTCTTGTAAACTTGCTAGCTAGTAAGTCTGCCTCTGTGAAAAGTGATCTTTGTATGTTTGTTAATATCACCTTTTCACAAGCCCGGGCCTAAATGAAGCCTTGGATAGGGAGGAAGTGGGGTCAGGAGTGAAGCAAGGAGGAGGATGAACTGGAGGCCCAGTGGCTGGAACCTGAAGTAGAAGAGACAGGGGATGGAGCCCACTTCTCTCCAGCCAAAGCCCAGAGCCTGCCACCCACCACCCCACAGGGGAGCCAGAATCCTGAGCCCCACCTCGCCCAGGAAGGTGAGGTTTGGTATTGTCTCCCCAGCGGGAGGTCGATGGGAGCAAATCTCCTATTGACTTTCCTTACTCCTCACAAATCGAGGAGTACTAGCACCGACGGGGGCACCATCAGCATTTGATTTAGCGGTTCCTTATTAGACCTGCTAAATCAAACTCCAGAAGATTGATCTCTAGCCCCGTAAGTATAGATGTGGCCTAAAACTTGGTCATGCTAGAAGACTTGGGTAGAGATGGGATTTGAACACAGATCTTCTTAGTACAGGTTGGACCTCCCTGGTCCAGCACCTTTGGGACCTGACCGGTCCCAGACAAGGGAGTTTGCCAGACCAGGGCAGGGGCACCAGCCTCCCTGTTGGGCTCTCCCCCCAGCCACCTGGCTCCGGTGGCCTTGCCGACCTTGTGACCCTGAGACCTCTGGCAGCCCTGCCGGTTCTGTGGCCCTAGCAGCAATAGGCTGCGCAGTCTCACCAGCTCCACTACCCCGCTGTCCCTGCCATCTGTCTTCATGCCCAGCTTCCAGGAACCTCTGCTACAGAACCACGGATGTTGCTGGACTTGAGTCCCGGACCACAGAGCTTCAACCATACTGGACTAATGACCTGACCTAACCACGGTACCTTCCTTCTTCACACCAGACGGCTTTCACAGCTTTTAAGAAAACCTGTTATGAATATTTCTTTTGCTTTCCTTTCTGCTAGAGCATTGAAAAAGCCGATGAATAGCAGTTTGTATGTGGCACTCTGGCCTTGCTTTCCCTGGAGGGCTTTGGAGAAGCTACATGTATTTCCAAAAATAGCCTGCAATAAACTGATGAAACCTTCTTACATTATGATTCGCTCCATGACACTGTCTTTATCCTACCGTCCTTTATCCAGCCAAGCTCCCTGTGATTTCAGTGGAAGATTGCGTGATGTGTGCTGAACTTTTACTGCCAGATTTACTGAAGGAATTTAGGTGCCTAATTCCCATTGACTCTAACGGGAGTTGGTCATCTAAATACTTTGAACAAAACTGGCCTTTAGAGGTCTCTGCGGTATGGCCCATGTACCATTCTTGTTAATAGTTTCAATCGACACCAGAATATGAGAAGTTCAAAGCTGCTTATTGGAGTTGGTTACTCAGTTCCCATTAGAAATGGGCAACACACTCCCCTTCTCAGTTTTGGAAAACTCAGCAGATCCCTGTGGGGGAAAAGGCGCTAAGGGATGACAACAGGGTACGGTTTAAATACAGTCAACCTCCCCTGCCTGGTTAGGGCTCCTGTAGAGTTTTCTTTCTCTCTCAGTGGTCACTTGATGATGAGTAGGGCATCTTCCTGTCACCCTCCTATTTGTGGGTCTGTTGATGGCTGACCAACCCAGTTCTGGAGCTGCACGTCTTCTCGCAGAAGGGGCAGGTGCTGGTGGCTATTGGAGGGATGCGGGACAGTTTTTGCCGCTCTTTTCTCCTTTTTCACCTTTCCTTGTCTGCACTGCGGTAGGACCTCTTAAATTGCGCTTCCCCCTCATGGATTATTGCTTTCCTCTGGAGATGGTCCTGGGCAAGGTTCTCCCAAGTATCGACACTGATGCTGCATTTTTTCATGTTTGCCTTCAACATGTCCTTAAGTCACTTCCTTTGGCCCCCAGTGCTCCTCCGTCCTTCCTTCAGCTCGGAGAACAGAATCGGTTTTGAGAAGCGCTGATGAGGCATCTGGACCACATGACCAGTCCAGCAAAGTTGTTGGCAGATGATGATAGCTTCAATACTGGTCGTGTTTGACTCTTCCAGGACAGTAGTGTTCATGCGCCTGTCCTCCCAAGTGATGTTTGGGATTCTCCCAAGGCGGCATTGACAATATTGTTCAAGTGCCTTCAGATGACACTTATATTTTGTCCAGGTTTTACACACGTACAGTAGTGTTGGAACAACCACTGTGTGGTACACAAGGCGCTTTGTCTTGGCACTGATGTCCTGGTTCTCAAAGACCCTTTGTCTCAGGCGGGCAAAAGCAGAGCTTGCACAGCTCAGGTGATACTGGATTTCCGCGTCAATGTCGACTTTGACTTCCAAGGTACGGGAAATACTACACATTTTCCAGCAGTTCTCTGTTGACTTCAATAGATGGTACATGAGATTGTCCCATCGGCGAGAGTTGGAGCACTTTAGTCTTTTTTGATGCTCAGTGTGAGGCCGGGATTCTTTCTGCTTCAGCAAAGGCGCTTAAGATGGTCTCAACAGTTACAGAGGAAAGAGCAGCAACCATATTGTCATCCACGTACTGGAGCTCCATGATCGAAGTTGTGGAGCTCTTGCTTTTGGCTTTCAGTCTCCTGAGGTTGAAAAGCTTCCCATTTGTTCTGTAGGCAATCTTTACACCATCTGGAAGCTTGTTGTCAATGAGATGGAGGGTCATGGCAATGAAGATGCAGAACAGCACTGGAGGAATGATGGAGCCTTGTTTGATTCCTGTTTTGACCTCAAAGAGGTTGCTTTGGGATCCGTTGTTACTCAGCACTCTGGCAGTTATATTGTCATGAAGCAGCCTCGGGATGCTGATGATTTTTTAGGGGCAACTGATTTTTGAGAAGATGGTCCACAGAGTGCTATTTCTTTTAACGTGGGGGGACTGTTGTACTGCAGCCACCACAGGAAACTTGATGGGTAGAAGGCCTGGGTCCAATGGCATGGAATCCATGACAATTGGGAGTCTTCTGTCTGCTGCAGCCTTCATTCGCCTTCACAGCCATTATAGCATTACGCTTGCTATCCTCCTCCAGTTCTGCCATTGAGGACATTAGGATCGTTCTTCATCTGGTCCCTCCCCCTTGGCCTTGCTGCCATGGGTGACCCTATTGGGAGTACAAAATTCCCTATGGCATTGCTCTCGAGTTCATTGGAACGTGCAAGCCCACTCACCATGACACGGTGACGATCTGAAGAATGAGAGGGTTTTCTATAGTATAAAAGAATCCCTTCCCCGGTAGGTCTTAGTAGATGTCATGTCTTCCTCTGATCTTTGAAGAGCAGATTCTGGCTTGCATGATTGCGCTGAGCTCCACTGAGTCCCAGATAAAGACCTGCTAAAGTGAATCCTCCTTAAATTGAGCAAGAGAATCCAGATTTGCACCTTTACGTGGTTTCTCTTCCCTCTCCCCCAACCCCAGTTTCTCAATAAATGGATAAAACCTGGAATCACCCTTTGGTTCGTTTTCTTTCCTATTCCACATTGATGGCCTAAAATGTCACCTAATCCTGGTTTAATTTGTGTTTTTGTTCTGCCATAAAATGTTGGCTGAGCAGCAGGGATTCACAGCTCCTGTGTGTAACGTTCTGTGGAGCTGATAGAATGAATTAGTCTGGAAACGTATAGCTCCTAGTTCAGAAATCCAGTACCAGGTACAGTGTATATACTGATTGTTTTATCATTTGCACTTATCGAAACTTGGACAATGAGAATCAATTGAGTTGGTTTCAAGTGATCAGTGTTTTAATGTTGGATAACAGACATTTCCAGGAAAATTTTACCTCTTTTTATAAATTACTTTCCATAGGAATTAAAACAAATATTGGAAACTTTTCTATGAATCGTGGCTAAGATTGTCAAACATGGCTAGTGATTTTGAGTCCCTCAAATTTTAGGTGGCCAACCAGAGACACTTTGAAGCAACTTGATTTTCAGAGTGAATCCTTGGCACTGTTTGACTACAACCCCCCTTTATGGTGTCTCAAGTGGGTAACCATAAACTTGCTAATCAGTTTTGAAACTCAGTCAAGTTTAGATTTGGTAACAGCCAATTTTTAACAAGGTGTGGTGTGGAGCCAAATGTCTGTTCAAGTGGTCCCTTGCTTAATCTTTTACAAAAATCTCACATGGGGTGAAAGTACCGGGTTCTGTCTGTAGGACACTCATAAGAACGGCCATACTGGGTCAGATCAAAGGTCCATCTAGCCGAGGATCCTGTCTTCCAACAGTGGCCAATGCCAGATACCCCAAAAGGAATGAACGGAACAGGTCCTCATCAAGTGATCCCTTTCCTGTCACCCATTTCCAGACTCTTACAAACAGAGGGTAGGGACACCATTCCAACCCATCCTGGCTAATAAATTCATGGAGGTTAGGTCCATTGAAACTTATCTAGTTATTTTTTTTGAACCTTGTTAAAGTCCTGGTCTTCACAACATCTTCTGGCAAGGAGTTCCACAGGTTGACTGTGTGTTGCATGAAGAAAAACTTTCTTTTGTTAGTTTTAAACCTGCTACTTGATTCTTTTTAGATGGTAAAATATATGATTCATAAACACACAGTCACATTCCATACTTAGCTCAAGGGTGTCTGTTCAGTTTATCATCTGCCTTAATTGAAATGGACAGTTCTGTCGTGTCCTGCAAAACTGCTCTCATGCATTTGAGTAAACACCACAGTACCTTTTAACCCAGTGCATATCGATTTCCCTGCTATGATACGTGCTTATGTATGCTTGTTTCTTCCATTTCTAACTTAAGCTGCTTCTGCTCTCCTTCGCCCCTCTCTAAATTAATCTATGTTTGTACCTCCAGAACCCTTGCAGAGCCCAAGGAACTTTTGAAGAGACCAGCTCCTGTCTCCCTGCCAGTGAAATGTGCGTCCCTCAAAGCCCTGAGAGTCTGTAGACACAGGAGCCGGGAGGAATTTTCAACACACTGAGGTAAGGCAGCTTAACCAATGCTTCTGCTTTGCTGAACAGTGAACATTCAGTACCATTCTGCTGCGATGAAACAGGTGGAGCAGGTTTCAGGATGAATGGTCCCATGTCAGTACTATAGCTGAAGTCATGGAATTCATTCAGCACCTTCAACTCCTTTGGGACTCTATTGGCCTAGTCTACACTAGCCCTCGCCATCAACCTAACCTACATCACTTCAGCTAAAAGCGTAGCTGAAGTCCATGTACTTACCGCAGAATCTGCATGCGTTAAGGTTGGTGGGGGCTGTTCTCCCGTTGACACTGGCTACCCTTCTTCTCCTGGTGGTGTACTAGAGTTGATAGGACGGCGCTCGGAGATCAAATGGTTGTGTCTAATCAGACATGATAAATTGATGGCCAGGGGATTGATCGCTGCAGCTTTGATTCCCAACATAGTGGAGACAAGCCCTATGTAGCCAGCCAGTCACAGCTGCCCCCAATGGTGGCCAATGGCCACAGTGGACCCACTGATTGGCTGGCTTGTGGGACTGAGCCTTGAGGGGGAGATTTGGTAAGACATAAACGGGAGCCTTTGAAATTCTTTCCCTGTTTGTCCTCATTCTCCCTGCTTTGTGAGTAGGACCAGACTGAGGTTCTTAGCTGTGGCTTTAGGGCTCTTTCTGGCATCTGATGTATTTGGGATGCTGATATTGATGATGACTGGCAGTAACCCATTGGCTTTCCTGGAGTGAATATGGGGCCTGGTGAGATGGTTTCATTTCTACCATCCTGCATGACAAAGAGCACCCCTTTTCTGTCAAGCTGAAGGTAAGTTGTCTTTGCGGGAGGGCTAGTTTCTCAGGGTCAGATTTTGCTTAAGCTTGCAAACAAGGTTCCACTTAGGATGGAACAACCAGTTTCACGTATACAAAACGGGAAATGACTGTCAAGGAAGGAGTACTGCAGAATAGGATCTAGGGATCATAGCGGGCCAAAAGCTAAACATGAGTCAACAATGTGACATTGTCGCAAAAAAAGCAAGCATGATTCTGGGAGGCATTCACTGGAGGGTTGGGAGCAAGACACGAGAAGTTATTCTTCCGCTCTACTCTGTGCTGATTAGGCCTCAGCTGAACTATTGTGACCTGTTCGGGGCACCACATTTCAAGAAAGATGTGGAGAAATTGGAGAGGGTCAAGAGAAGAGCAACAAGAATGATAAAATGTCTAGAAAACATGAGCTATGAGGGAAGACCGAAAGAAATGGGCTTGTTTAGTTTAGAAGAGAAGACTGAGAGGGGACAGGATAGCAGTCTTCAAGTATCTAAAAGGGTGTTACAATGAGGAGGGAGAGAAAATTATTCTCCTTAATCTCTGATCCTTAATCCTTAAGAAATGGGCTTAAAGTGCAGCAAGGGAGGTTTAGGTTGAACATCAGGAAAATCTTCCTACAAGGGTGGTTAAGCACTGGAATAAATTGCTTAGGGAGGCTGTGGAATCTCCATCACTGGAGATATTGAAGAGCAAGTTAGACAGACAACTATCAGGGTGATCTAGATGGTGCTTGGTCCTGCCATGAGGGCAGGGGACTGGACTTGATGACCTCTCGAGGTCCCTTCCAGTGCTAGTATTCTGTTATTGCGGGAAAGGTGCCAAGATGAGGTGAGTTGCCATGTCAGTCCTTGGGCTCAAGAAGTACAAAGACTTCGTTCCATCCTCCCAAAACACATGGGGAGATGCAGAACAAGGGCCTTGCAGCCTTCACGTCAGCCAGAAGAGGGGAGAGGAAGGAGCTGCTTAAGTGCTCCCTCTAGGGTTGCCAGGTGTCCGGTATTCTACCGGACAGTCCGGCATTTGCGCTTTTTGTCCGGGAAAAAAATATCAGAAAATGTGCAATGTCCGGTATTCTCTGATTTTTTCCGGCTGCGCACCGGACAGAAGCCTGTTGTGGGCTGGGAGAGAGTCTGGAAGGTGGGGCCACGATCGGCGCTGGGAGCCTGTGATTGCACAGAAGCCTGGCGAGAGAGTGGTGGGAGTGGCTGGGAGCTTATTATCCCGTGTTCCTTTTTTTTGTGCTTTCCCAAAAAATACCAGATGTCCGGTATTTTTTTGGAGACCATCTTGCAACCCTATCTCCCTCTTCTCTCCAGTGTAATTTCCTCCAACACAGTCCGTGGCTTACTAGCCATGTTACGGCCCTTGATTGTTACTGTTCTCGCTCGTTCTGCAGGGAGGGAAGTGAGGGCCAGATTTTAGAAAAGGGCCTGAAATCAGTGGGACTTAAGAGCATTTGTAAATCCCAACTAGACAACGAAATGCCAAATACCTTTTCATTCTGGCCCTTAGTCTTTTCGGTGATGGGTTGCCTCATAAGACCTCAGAAACCCACTTTGGGGCCTTTCAGGTTTTGGCCTGGTGCCTGCTGTAGCTGCAAGACATTGTCAGACATGCCTGTCACTAGAGTCAGAAGACTAGGACAGTGGAGACTAATACGCAGGGTCCACCTATGAGCCAAGAAAAGTCCCTGCACTTTTTTATTAAGCTCAGGGTGCTGCCAGCCATTAGGTCTCTGGCTGCACATGCCTTTGGCTGCGAGTGCTGTCTACACTCCACGTTAAAACAGCCCAGGATAAGTCTGTGTCTGTTCTTTTGGGGGGATAGTTTTTACAATGTGTGATCCTAATTTTAGAGTTTATTCTAAATCTTGTCCCATAACTGCCAAGCTTTAGAGAGAGGTCTTCTCTATCAAGTGAGATGAAAGTAAAACATTTCATTAA